ATAAACTAGCAATACAGAGCAGAGCCTTAAAGATTTTTATTTTGCATCTTTTTGTGTTTATTTTTTGTTATTTGCTAATGAAGCAATAAAAAGATACAAAAGATTGCATTTTTCCTCGTTGCTTTCATAGGTCGACCAGCAGTCCCAGTATATCCAAGGCTATAAAATTCTCTACCGGCCATCTGGAGCTAGCCACGGGGAATCGGAGTGGTTAGTTTTTGAAGTGAGGGCCTCAACCAAAAACAGTGTGGTTCTGCCTGATCTCAGGAAGGGGGTCAACTACGAAATCAAGGCACGCCCTTTTTTTAATGAATTTCAAGGAGCAGATAGTGAGATCAAGTTTGCTAAAACCTTAGAAGAAGGCAAGTATGATGAAACGTGTGGGTTCCTTGCACTGTGGTGTATTCTCTGGGCTTTTATTAACCTTAGTTGATAAAGTGTTAGGAGAGCATTAGATTTATTGACTGTTCATACTAAACACTAGATTATGATAAAATAATCTGTTTAATTAGAACAACTGAAAAAAAACCAAAGTGCTATGTTCGTTGACCTCTCCGAATAGTGGCCTGCACAAAAATATGCAAATATGAATGATTTATTATAGTACAATATAGTGTTTATTACATTATACAATATAGTATATACTAGATAGCGCATACATTTATTTAGAACTGAAGGTCAGAATTTAAAATGCTTACTTTTAAATTATTGGATGCTAGTGCCATGAATGATTTGTAGACGAAGTGAGTCACGTCTCCGTCTGCCCGGGACTTTCCACGGCTAGCATTTTCTCCTTATGCCTCCCATGTCTGGAAACCTGAAGTTAGGAAGAAACATTTACAGAGAAGTAAAAAGTTACACAGCAGAAGCATCTTACTGGAATTCAGACTTGCCTTGATGTTTTGTGGAGATACCTTACTGTGTGAAGCAGTACCAACGGGTTAGCAGGCTTCAGGAGAAACAAGTAGCCACAGACTATTAGACAGCCAACATCTTTAAAACATGCATAGTACAGTAAAACTTGCATGATTACTTTTGGTAGCTGTGAATTTTCTGCTTTGCGTGTTCTCTATGACAGTTCTAATGCACCTCTTTACTTCTTTTACAAACAACTTTAATAGCACCAAGTGCCCCACCCCGAAGTGTGACTGTATCCAAGAATGACGGAAATGGAACTGCCATTCTTGTCAGCTGGCAGCCGCCCCCGGAGGACACGCAGAATGGAATGGTCCAGGAGTACAAGGTAATTTATGACGGACACCACCTCCGCTCACAGGAACGGAAAAGCAAAGGGATAAAATGTTTATAGATATTTGGTGCCATCTGCTGGCGACACTGTCAAAATGCTAAATTGCTTTAAAGACTGTTTAGGTG